GAACAAATCATTCTATTCATTAAGAGAATGCAACTATATATCTATCCCAACCACTTTGAATACACAGATACAAAATGGACATTCATAGTTATATCCAAATTTTTTTAAGTTCTGTTGTTGAATATTATAGGTGTGTAAACTCAGCAAAATATTCCAGCCATTATATTTTCTGTTTAATGCATAAACTTATTGTATGAACAAAGGGTTGAGAAGACTAGATCTCAGAGAGATGAAAGAGGACAAAAGAACTCTGTGTGGTGGCACATCCTTGTAATCTCTATACTCTAGCTTAAGCCTAGCCTACACAACTTAGCTACTTAGAGACTCTGTGTCAAAATTAAAAAATAAAGAGACAGGACAAAGCTGGAAAGTTTTTGGGTCCACTTACAGTGCCAGAAAACAGGTTAGGCAGTTATTGTTTATCACTATTTCTTTGGAGATGTAAGCTAAAATGATTAAACTAGGAAATGATATAGTTGGTGCCAGTATTAAAAGGTAGGGAACATGGCCTAAGGATCTGAGGGTTGTTCTTGTTGGGCATGCAGAGTAGACACAGGGATCAAAGGACAAGCCCAGAAGAGAGTCTGAAGGCTTGCCAGGTATGTCAGGGGAAGCCTATTGATCTTAGAAGGCAGGATCTTATGGGATGGCTATTGATACTGTTTTCAATATTCTAGCTGAAGTTATCAGACAATAATTGTTATAAATATTGTGGGTTCTCATGTGGGAGACTGCCAACCTGTGCTCTCTGGAGAAATGAAGCCCCTTGCCCCGCCTTCAACCCTATTCACTGAGATATGCAGAGCTGGTAATCTTTTTTTTTTTTTTTTTTTGGAGGCTCAAATGCTTTTAGGGCATTTCTGGTTTTCAGTAACTGTCTGGGTTTGAAACAAAGAAGCTTGAGCTTGAGGGCTTTGCTTAAGCAGGCACTTAAACAACTGAGCTACTGGGAAGGCCCCCAGAGCTGGTAATATTGAACCTGATGTTCCCTTAATTGTGTAAAAGACTGTGATCCAGTCTGGGGGAGAAATGCTCCTCTTGTTCACAGCTGGAATGCAAGAGCCCGTGAGATTCAGAAAGAATTATACCTTCCTGGCAGGAAAGTTGCCATCCTTGCGTACATTGAGCTATCTGGGCATTGCTAACTGAGGACCTCTGTGCCTGGTACAGCCAATGCCTGCCAAGTTTTTCTTCCTCAACACACTATCATGACCCCCACCCACATCCCAGATTGATACCAATATAAGCCATGAACTTTCGGAACTCATAGCCTTCTGTTTCACAGAAAACACTGGGTCATCCCAGAGCTCCTCAACAGCAGAACTTTTTCTCTGTCTTTAGTTTGAAACCATTTGTCATATTGCCGGATGGGTTAGACTGCTACCCTCCACGGGGGGTTCGGTATTTTCAATTACAGATTTTTTTGTGGTAGTAGTGGAGGTTCAACTCAGGTATGTTCTACCACTGAGTTACACTTCTAGCCCTTTTTATTTTTTGAGATACAGTCTACGTTGCCCAGGAGGACCTTGAACTTGTCACCGTCCTGTCCCAGCCTCCCAATTTTCTGGAATTATAGGAATGGGTCACTGTACCCAGCCCAATTCTGGATTTGGAGGCTTCAGTGCGGATCTTGGGTGTTGGAGGATGATCTTATTTTGGAGGTCTTGGCTAAAGGAATAGGAAAATGAGTAGTACAAACTTTGGGAAAAATTCAGTGCTGCCTCTATGCACCAAGATGACTAGGAAGGAGAAACCACTATTTATAATGTTCTAAAGTGTTGACAAAAGTGGCTGACAGAATGTTGGGGGTGAGTGCTCCCATTTTCTGGGTTTAAGAGAGGATAGAAAATGGAATAAACCATTTTGACATACAGGCATTGCTCTGCATCGAGTGTAAGAACAATACAACTTCTCTAACAGCAATGGAACACCCATATCTGACAAAACAAAACAAAAAAGGGGGATACAAATAAAGGACTGTTTTGTAGTGAAAAAATATGTATATACAAGATAGGATAGATATACAGCTCCTTTCTCTTATTTCAATGAGAAGAAAGGTGTATACTAATAGTTTAGACAAGAGATCATGTCTGCATCTTGTCCTCTGAATAACTATGAAGACAGCAATATGTAATGTATTAATTATTGTAACTGTCATACTAACCTGTTTTGAAACTGTTTCATTGCTATTTTATCTTTTTTGTCATTAAAATGAATAATTTTTTAAAAGATCAATAAAGGGGCTGGGTGTGGTGAGGCACACCTATAATCCCAGCACTTGGGAGGTTGAGACAGGATTGCTGCGAGTTTGAGTTCAGCTTGGGCTACAAAGTAAGTTCAAGGCCAGCCTGAACTACATAGTGAAACTCTGTCTCACAAAGACAAAGAAAGAATGCAATCAAAATATTCCTAAATCTACAAAAAAAGATCATGTAGAAAGAGTACTGTAAAAAGATACTGATTTTAAGAATGAAAGAATAAGAAAAGCTCTTATATTCTGTATAGCTAGTTACTTCAGCAAATTTTCATTTTTTAAGTAAGCAAAGGATACTCATATCCAAAAACCTTTTGACCATAGTTCCTGAGTAAGAACTAGCATCCTGGATGAAAGGAAAATGACTGCCTAACGATAAACCTGTACTATAACATCCTATAACTCAGTTGTGTCCCAAATTTTCTGATCAAGAAGATTATGGAGCCACAGAAGAAAGTAATCAATGATGTAGAGTGTGCCTAAGAACAGTTGCATGGAGAGAAAACATTCTTCCAGGATTTCACAGAGAGCAAATTGCCCAAGCAATGATCATGACTCATCCACATGGCTGACACTGACAAAGGATCTACAAAGGGCAGTACAGGGTTTCAGGATAAATTCTGAGGGGATGGGACTGACCTTATCAGATACAAAAGTTACATTTCTTGTTGTATAGGTCTTGCTTTATCTTGGTCTTAACCATCTAGCACAAAAGTATAAAAACAAGTTATTAAAAGTAAAGC